ATGTAACGCAAATATTACGTACTAGCTGTTGCCCGCGACTCTGTCCGCTTAGAATATGAATTATAGGACATAACAATTTTACAGCCTATGTTACTCCTTAGTACATTAGCTACCTACCAATAAAAGTCTTGCAAAATCGGTCCAGCCATTGCAGAGATTAGCCAGTACAAACAAATAGTCAGAGAAAAAATTTAAAAAAAAATGTTATTTTGGTATGTGCGTCGATCGTAGGTACCGTACCGTAGGTCGAGTACCGTCATTATAGACACAATTAAAGAACAATAGGTTGCGGTCAGCGGTGTCCTCGCGGTGTTTGACAGTTTAAAATATAACACGTCAACAATAAAGCAATTGGTCGTGATCTAAACTACCTGTATACCAAACTATTTTACATTTATTTATTCAGCCTATCTATTAATTGCATAAATCACCATTCACTAAATAGGAATTTCATACTTTATTTGTAATTGTAAATATCTGTTTATCCTTCGTCATAATTCATTGTCTTATTAGTATACGATTTATTGGCTCCTTTGTTTATCCATACATCTTATTTGGTCCTTTAAAGTTAAAAGAATATTAAATAAAATTACTGCCTCGTTAGCCGAGTGGTCGCAAGTGCGACTGCCGGGCAAGGGATCTTGGGTTCGATTCCCGGGACGGGCAAAGTATTACTGGGTTTTTAAAAATCTTAGTAGTAGCACGGAGTCTGAACATAAATAGTGAAAAGTGGGTGTTACATCGTACAGTGGCATTAAGTGCCGTAATGTTCACCTTCAGGGATAAAAAGGCATGATGTTATATTTTTTATTAAATAAAATTGCTGTAAGTGCAGCTGACTTCTAATTGCTTCGAAATTCCAAAAGAAATCTCAAATATTTATCAGACACAGAAACAGAAATTTTACTGCTAAGGAGTAGAATCCTTGCCAGACTCTATATTTCCTGAAGGGTATTATAACCTGGGTGTCTTCAAAGCCCGAATAAATAGCTTATGGGACGCCGTGCTCCATTGTAGACCATCGCTTACCATCAGGCGAGATAGTGGTCAAATGTCGGCCCATCAAATATAAAAAAAAAACCAAACGAAATAAACTAAATTATTAAATGAGGTGCTAATGCTTTCTCTGACTCAGGAACCGAACCCGAACGTCTAGTCCAACAGTCGCTTTTGTAACAAACTGTTGCAAAACTATTATTTATATTTTGTCACAGTCTGCCCTTGCTATTTTCCTTTAGTAACGGTGTACTGCACTCTATGGGGTCATAGACCTCTCAAGGACTAGAGATATGATTTGATTATAAACTATTGTTATTGTTACAAATAAACACACAAACAAAGACAGTAATCAACTTTACTTATGTTTAAATCTAATTTAGTTTATTGTATTTAATCACAATTATTATGGTAACATTTGTTGATTTGTTTTTGCACAGTAATGTCAAGCTTTTTACACGCTGAAAGAATAAGGCGTACCTAACCATACCGAGTGTGTTATGAGAGGTAATTACCATATGGACATTTTAATCAATAAATTCGCGCAAACAAGACAATAGAAAATAGTCAACTACATATATAACTAAAAAAACAGCGAAAAAAATGCCTTTTTGAATTGGATGATCGAAATGGAAACCTCGTGATTGACAATAAACTACTAGACCAATGAGGTAGACTAATTACTAATTAAGGTTAAGGTTTTAAAATATTTTGTAGGTCAATTTATACGCCATAGTTATCATAAAACAAAACAGAACTAAGTAGGTACAGCCTGTACATAAGAATCACATTTAGTGACAATTAATTTTTATTATTCAAAGTTAATAAAATAAAAATTCTATAATATAAATAAAAATATATATATATATGTAAAAATCTATGTTATATATTTAAAAAAAAGTATAAACTGATCGTCGAATGTGCGTGCTTAAAAATCATACATTGAGACCATGATAAATTGGTTTTGTATAGCTAGATATGTTGTGTTCGTATACTGTCGCCAATTATGTTATGAAGATAGACTCAAAGTGAGTGTTGCTTGATTGATATACTCCAGCCACAGTTCTATAAATACATATATTGGTGTTTTGAAAGGTTATCGGTATGCATTTTCACGATATTCACCTTCATCACGGATCATTGGAACTAAATACAATTGGTTATATAAAAAGATGTCTAGGCATTTGTGTATAACCTCGTGTTTAGTCAACTAAAACCCTAGGACAAATGTTAAAAACGTTACTCATCGATTTTCATCAATAACGTACCCAAAAATGTACATATTTAAACATCGTTTTTTAAATTATGTTTAAGAAAACCTTTTTCTAAAATTATCAATTGATAAAACAGCTGCGCTTAAAAGACAGTCGTCTATATAATTTGAAAAACGCATCTGTTCCATACTGAATGTATATATCCACTGAAAAATACGTTTACAAATAAAAATAAGCATTTTATATTATTTTTTAAAGTATCGCGTTTTATAATGGACGTGACAACACGACCAATGATTTCCAAGATAATTTCATGTTAATTTAATTAGTTCAAAGTTAAAATAAGGTTATATTGGGTTATATATAGGGATTTAAAGTAAATAAATATTAGAATAAAAATTAAAGATTCATTCATTCCCAAATTTTGTATTTTTCCCATATCTATATTATCCATTTCCATATTTATATTTTAACGAACATTACACAAAGGCGATAAAAATTCTGTAGACACGTAATAAATTATTATATTACTATTTTACTAGCTTCTTCGTCCGCGTAAAATAAACATTGACTACCTATTATAGACAGATTTTTTTTTAAATTGCCTATTCCTAGTTATATAGCTAAAATACTTTAAATCTAATCCGTTGGTAACTTACGCGGATAAGTGTGTGCAAACAGATAAATATTGAAACATCTTTCTACTATAATATTTATTTATTTATCTATATTCAAAAAATACTGCCTCCTTGGCCGAGTGGTCGCAAGTGCGACTGCACTCTGTACTCGGGCTAAGTACTACTGGGTTTTTATAAATTCTCAGTAGTATCACGAAGTCTGGAATAGTGCCCGGTATATGGCAATAGGCTCGCCCCCTATTACATGGGACTCACAACATAAATAGTGAAAAGTCGGTGTTACATTGTACAGTGGCATAATGTACACCTCAGCCTACCCCTTCGGAGATAAAAGGCGTGATGTTATGTTATGTTATGTTGTCAAAAAATATGTATGTACTTAATGTAAACACACTTGTCTTTTTCATTACATTCATATATATATTTACGACCAATATACCAAACACGCTGTATCTTTAATGAAAATCGAACCAATAGTTAACAACGTCTTTCACAACGCTCAGTTGTTTTTAACCGTAACCGTGTCGAGGAAAAACGTGCGAGAAAGAAATATAATAAGTCATTGTGGCCAGTCATAATAGGTAGTAGTTTTAGTGACATTGTCTTATTTGAACCTAATGTATGTACTTACTGTGGGTGGGTTTTAAGCGTTGGGTTAATATGCGAGGGTGCGTAGGTACTGTGTCAGGCAATAATAAAATAACGAAACGTAAGATCGTGAAAGTTTAAAATCTTGTATGTTATCACAGCGTTCTTTTGAATCTATAACAATTTTTACAGAGGATAACTATAAAAAAAATATAATTCATAATAATTAAATATTTTTTTGATAATTCTAGACAAATGCAAATAATATTTAATGCCTATAACGTTCAGAAATTTCATTGATCATACTGAAATTAAATATCCGTTCTTTAGATTACTCCAAACATAGTTAAATATAATAAAATGTTACCTAATACCTATAGCGAAATCTTATTAATTTAATATATTAATATCGATCACAATTTTGTTAGTTGAAACCGAAATGGGACATTTCAGCAGCAATAAATATTTGAATAATAATTAAAAATACGTAATTATTAAACAATTAACAAATTATTAAAACCATTATACGTACACTCATATCATTTCACTCACTATACGTAACAATTATCTCAGTTCAGTTAAGACTACATTACTTATACGAAAGTTCTGCATCACGAACCGGTCCTTACCTTCATGTGTTTCATAACATTGTCGTTATGGTGTTACAATTGCCTTACTGGGTTAAATATTAATGAAAGATGAAAGTATGCCAACAAAAAAAAATAGTTCAAATTTAACTCGTTTTTAATGTATATTTAATGAATAAAAGCATAAAAATTAAAAGTGGATCAAATTTAAAATCTTTTAAATTTATTGTTACTAAATAAAAGTGATTATTAAAAGGATCTTAAATAGTTTAATATTAAAAACTGCAATTGCAATTTTTTACTTAAAAATGTATACAAGATCTACTTTTATAATTATAGTACCAAATCAATCACAATTTTTTAGCCGATAAAATATTTTTCGACTGCTATCCATCTCAACAATTCTTACATATCTGTCACCTACAAAAAATCCAAACTACGAAACAAAATATTAAACGAAACTACCTCTATGTATAAAAGATTACATTCAATTATCACCTCTGAAATTATATCATAAGTACCGATTCAACAATACAATGAAAAAAAAAATAACAAACTTAAGTAAAATACTTCTCACAAACCTAAATAACTTATCAATCAGATGGGAGTTAAACCTACTTACTTAATAATTTCATTATACTACCATATATATATAGGTATGTGTGAATATGTAAATATTTTCCCACATTAAGATAAAAATCTTATACTGCATAATACTTAACGAACTAATTAATTATTGTGTGCAATGTTTACGTGTGGACGTCAGCTTTGTAATTCTCACTTATTGTTTTTCCCGATGATTAGGCAAATGAAACCTATTCATTTTTAATTATACTGTAATCACAAAAATGTATCTTTTAAGTTTTAATCAATGAATAGTAGATAACTGCAACCACTTAAAACATCACAAAATAAGGAATACTTTATCGCACCCTTAATTAATTTAAATATATTAAAGATATTAAAATAGAACTCACCTTTTCACAATAAACAGTGTAGATGTAGTATCAAAACAGCACTTATCACTATCAATTGAATCGTAACAGCTTTTCGAACAAACTATTTACCGTGCTCTTGCGCATGCAGCCGACGGTGCTGCCACTGCGCCTACCTCAAACAACTAAGCCACTGGAAGGGCGCACTTGTTAATATATACAGTCAACAAGCGGGGATACAATAAGATATAAGATTATATTATTGAAATCTGATAGAACTTGTAATTAATATGCCTAAATTAATGAAGCGAATTATTAATAACTTTATTTCCTTTTTCAATCTTTTAACTTAAATCATTTTGGTGTAAAGGAAGTGATGGAATGGTCATTTTTGGCAGTAGATACTAAAGTATGGGGATTTTTTGGAAATTGGATTTGAAATCATATTCTATTGAATAAGCACAAGCTATATGCATTGTATTGGAAGTTTGAAAATTGATAAACGCATCTAACTTAACTGCACGTTTGGCGCAGTCATTGATCAATCGGTCGATTGGCTGCTACACAACGTGTTGCGAGTTAGGTTGGTGGCATCTAAATTTCTTTTTTTTTTGTTAATGGCACCGCTTTTGGCCTGCAACTCGCCTGGTAGAGAACTACATCCACTATGACAGGTCTGAAGGAGAATTCATGTAAAATCATATAGGTGCTGTACTAGCATCAGTCAGCAGCTACGCCGTGCTATTGACGTTTATGTGTTCCAAACATCTCGAACCCTTCAGCCATTTTGAGGTGAAAGAGTGACAAATTAACATACAAAGTTTCGGATTTATAATAATATTAGTAGGGCTTTTATTTTTTTAAAGGGGGGAAAATCATCGAATGACTGCTCCCGCCTGGGTGAGGTGGAAGGGAGTATCAGACTCTTACTGACTAAAAACCACCCCGTTCCTTCTCCTGCACGTCGAGCCGGAGCCCCGGTTACCCGTTAGGTTCTCCGCGACTATATTAGTAGGGTTTGCAAGCGCTCCACGATACATGTGATGAATATGAAAACAGTGGTGTAACGCTTTACAGAAAAAAAAAACTAAACTGAATTCGATTATGACCAAAAACCTCAACCATCGGCCACGAAGTGGAGAGCAGTTTTATACTATTCGTAACCTAACTGAGATGTCACGGAGAACCTAACGGGATACTGGGGCCCCGCTCCGGCTCGAAGTGCAGGAGTAGGAACGAGGTGGTTTTTAGTCAGTAATAGTCTGACACCCAGGCTCCCGGCTCACCCAGGCGAGAGCAGTCATTCGATGATTATCCCCCTTAAAAAAAATTAAAAAAACCTAACTAAGATCTCTTGCCACCTGTCAAGATCGAGGATTTTTGTGGACTAATGCCCGAATATTGAAACGTTACTCAATTTTAAGTCCCGCTTAAGTATAGTTTATACTAAAATTGAGTAGCCTTTCTGTATTCGGGCATAAGTACTCTAGCTGATGTATAGTGACGACGATGATGTTATATAACACCTAAATATTTCATTACTTTCAAACGCAACAAACAAGGTTTAAAAGTATACTAACATTATAATAAGTCAAATAATAAATAACCAATCTACAAGCTTCATTATAAATAGTTTAGTAAAAAAATAAAAATAATAGCCAATAAATTATGTAAACCTGATATTATGTACACTTACTGTAACAGTATACGTATTATGCCTAAATTTTAAATATCGTTAGTAAAAATATTTTTTCGCAACCTAATCTGGGTTACGAAAACAAATGAAATATTATACGACATAGTTACATTCAAATTGTTTCTTTTTTAGTCCACTTACTGCGTTATTGGATTACTAATAGATCATTTTGCGGAAGAAACTGTATTTATCAAACGCCTAGGATGAATGATAGGACGAAGATTTGGGTCTGAATCCCGTATCGACACAAAAAAGAACTAAAATCTGATAATAAAAAACTCAAATTGATAAATTATTAATATATTTTCATTTTAACCTGGTGGGGTTTTCTTCTTAATTTCTGAGCCTTAAACTCCCGTCAATAAGGTTTATATCTAAGAAAAAACAAAAGTTTTCCTTTCCAAATTAAATTGAAGATAGCAATATGTCCTTAAAAAATATATATATATATGTATATAAATTTTTTTAAGGGGGGAAAATCATCGAATGACTGCTCCCGCCTAGGTGAGGCGGGAGGGAGTGTCAGACTCTTACTGACTAAAAACCACCCCGTTCCTTCACCTGCGCTTCGAACCGGAGCCCCGGTAACAACTTTCAATATTTTTTTGTGATAAAGACACCACAATAAAATGCTTTCCATATATTGAGGATAAATCATATTTTGGGATACGCATATGCATACTTTTTATCGTATCTTATGAGACAAAAATATGTTTTTTTAAGAATCGAACACGGCACATAGCCTCAGGAAATAATTTAGGATACCTATATATCGGATGGTGCGATCAGGAGAATATTGTTAGAGAAAAAAATAATAACTATAGTACTTAAATATAAAGATGACTGCAAGACACTCGTGCCAAGTGAAATACCCGGATGGAATATAATGTTCTGTATCACAAATGGTTGTTCAGTTTTTCGGGGTCTAAGTGAGCTGAATATAAGAAATAATGTTTGTAAAGGCATTATTGGCGGAGCACCTATTGTAGGGTAGCGTTATTAAAAAATAAAAAAGGGTCTTGTTAGAGACCTCTGAGAAAATACCTATGTTAGTTTACACAAAAACACATAGTTTTTAATTGATTTTATTAAGAACTTCTACAATACAAAATACGATTTAGTTAAATACAGAAATAAATTGATGGACGAAAATAAGTAGAAACCTTTGTCAGAAAAACTCTCACTCCCAGTACAAACAGAACCCTAAAAATAATCTTATTTATTCAAACGGATCATTTGCAAATGAAACATGATAAATTCTAATTCGATATTCATTTTTTCCGAGAACATAACGCATCAATATTAAATAATCTTGAGAAAGAGCTTGTTTCGGAATTTGTTATACCGAATCGTGAATATATCGATTTGTGAATAATCGGAATATCCCGACTAAGACTTGTAAGGCCCGATTTCTGATAATTTGTTCAATGACAAGACAACTCTGCGTAATCTTGAGACTCGAGAATGATGTTATACAAATAAAGCAACGTTAATTCCTAACAAATTAAGAAACAAAAATGAGTAATTGGTACTGTTATTTGGGCACTGGTATCATCAATTCGGACTTCATTTTAGCATTTGACAATATTTTTTTACGCCACTGTTCCATTCACGACTTATGTTACATCATGCCATGTACACGAGGAAGTACTACCAACAAAAAAGAAGGAATTTGTCTGACTTTAGAAATGTCAAAAACCCGGGACCCGTTTTGCAGTTCGTAAACCACAAACGAAGATATTTAAGGCGGTATTTCCTAAAATTATCGTATATGGAACTTTTGAAAATAACAGCATTCTTGTTACGCAGATGCAAACAAGAGGATAATAAAAATTAATCATTTATTAAGTAGGTAAGTATCTCAGGAACTGTGATTAGCCATTGAGACAATCACTTTTTTTGCTAAGAAATAACTTAAGTACCAATATTTTACTTATATGGCATATTTTATCAAACTTAACTAATTATTTCCAGTTTTGACATCATCAGGAAACTACTGATGGACTACTATAGGGTCCTACTCCTTATACGGGAAGGCTTTGCCATGATCTCGCTTGGCAGGTTGAAAAGGTTCACGTATATCAAAAGCGTTACTGCCTCCTAGTTAGTCTCCTAGTCGGTTCTTACGAAACCCGGGCACACACGGCTTAGAGCTACTACATAAATTAAACATACATACATAACCTCACACCTGTCTTGTCTCCCATGGGGGTTGGCAGAGACTACGGAACGTCAATTGCCAATTATAACAAGGATAGAAAATAAAAGTCTCAATATTATAGCGAAGTTTTTTGGCGTGTAGCCAAATGCAGCACTCAGACCTATTAAACGTGTTTTTTATTTCAAAATTTTCTTCATAATTCATGCAAAACTTTCGCACTAAAAGATTTCAGGGAAATGTTTAAAGCAGGATTAAATCAATCTTCATAGAGGAGTCACTACAATCTTTTTCACTTCGTAAATTATAGAAGCTTCTTAAAATGATTTATTATATTTTTTCCTCATAAAACCCAAAATACCTTAAAAATTGGAAGAGGCATTAATCATTATATTTAGGTCCACTAAATTATACTGATTAATTTGATAAATACCTATGGCACAACGTTTAATTAAAATGAGAAGATACTCGAATTATCTTTGGCTACAAAAAAATATACCGTTATACTTGTGGTTATTATACCGACAACCACATGACTCAATCGACCCTTAGCTCAGGCAGACCTACGTGTTTAATAGGAATTACCAATCAGGGACATAAAGTCTAGAAAGTCACAGTTCCATCGAAGAAAAATGTTATATCTTTGTTCAAACATAGATTTGAGGTCTGGATGTTTATCCTATGACCAGGTGTCATAATCTTACTGACTAAAAACCACTTTATAATCGTTCCTTTTCCTGCATCGAAACGGGCGGAGCCCCGAGACGGTAACTCACTAGATCTGCAGCAACAAAGAAATAACTTTAACTATGTATATGAACTTTCCTGACGGTAGTTTGATTTAGATGATAAAATAACATAACATAACATCACGCCTTTTATCCCCGAAGGGGTAGGCAGAGGTGCACACAGAAGCAACACCCACTTTTCACTATTTATGTTATGAGTGCCATGTAATAAGGGGTGAGCCTATTGCCATATTCCAGACTCCGTGCTACTACTGAGCTTTTTTTTTAAAACACGATACTTTGTAATACTTTGCCCGACCTGGGAATCGAACCCGAGACCCCTTGCCCTGTAGTCGCACTTGCGACCACTCGGCCAACGAAGTAGTCGATGATAAAATATATTATGAATTTTCAATCTTAACCCCATGTTTGACAATCTGCTACAAAGAGAGTACCAAATATCTGCACCTCTGTCTACCCCTTCGAGGAACGTTATGCAAATTTCATCCTAAACGTAGACGGAGAACTAGTTTAATATTTGAACAGAATATTTTCACTTGCAGTGCTATCGTGAGTAACTTTACATATAGCTTAG